TTGTAGGGTTTGTAGGGTTTGGGGTTTAGGGTTTAGGGGCTTCGAGTTTCGGGTTTAGGTTTTAGGTTTTAGGGGTTTTAGGGGTTTAGGGGTTTAGGGGTTTAGGGTTTAGGGTCTGCAAGCCCTACCTTAAACTACAAAACCCTACTTTTTTGTAGGTTCTTATTTACTACAAACCCTAATATGGAGTTTATATAAGTATAAGCCCCAATATGGAATTTATAGGGACCCTACAAAAAAGTAGGTTTTAGTAGGTTAAGGTAAACCCTAAACCCTAAACGGGTTTGGGGTTGAGGATTTAAGGTCTGCGGTTGAGGGCTTAGGGCTGTAATGGATCATTTGGGCTTTACATGGGTGTTGTGCTGAATCCGGGTTCAGGGCTAAGGGGCTTTGGAGCTTGACGCTTTAGGGGTTTAGTTAGGGTTTAAGGGTTCAGGGTAAGGGGTTTAGAGCTTAACGGGTCAGAGATGTAGGGGGTTTGGGGGCGAGAAATTTTGGTTTAAGGTTTAACGCAGCAGCTTGAGTAATGAGAATGCGGTTTGGGGTGTTTCGTAGGACAACTATATAAATACTTTCAGGGGATGTCCGTACGAATTGTACAGACTTGTATGATATGGGGGGAATTAATGTTTGGTGTGGGCTTTATGCTATACTAGTTGCTAGATACTACATCCAAAACTGGAGCCCTAAGCAATGCTGTTGCTGGTTCTTCTGACCCCTATAAAAGTTAGATGGGCGGGGCATCGCTGGCAAGGACAAACTTCAGCTCCTAGGAGTTCAGGTTTATAAGCCTATGGGAGCTCAAGCTTTAGGGCTTAGGAGGTGTTTAGGGCTTAGGGCTTCGAACTTAGCTTTAGGGCTCCGGGGCATTTTGCTTGTTGGAGATTACGTACGCAGGGTTCGACTTTGGGTTTGGGACTTGGGTGCTCAAGTCTGGAGCTAAGGGTAGGGCGCAGCCTTAGGCATTCATGAACGGACCTTGAGGAATATTTGTTTTAGGCCTGTCTAACTATAGCCGAACTACCATCTCCTTATAGTGCTTGTAAAGGTGAAGAGACCAACCGGTCTGCGGCAAGCGTTGAGCGGTCGGACCTGAAAAATAATGCTCTCCGACGTCCTCACTCGAATGTAGCCACTCATCCATTCCAATCAACGCCATCTGGTCCCTGACTGGTGTCTCCTCATCCATCACTTGTTCTTCCCAGGGCTTTCGTTCCCGCAAGAGGATCTGACAGAGACATCGTCCGACGCAGCGGTAACTGTGCGAGTTTTCTGCCCACCTCGAGCAAATGCGGGTGCAATAGCTGCGGATGGGAAGGTGTGAGCCTGGCGTTCCAGCCACAATGGACGCAAAACAGGTCGGCGTAGGACGTGGCGAGTAGTCTGTGGCGACGGAAGCCAGCAGCTGGCAACCCGGAATGGACCACGGCCCGTGATGTGCCATGGGGGGAGGCAATGGCGGGGTGACGTCGACAACTCGGACGGATTGAGCTGTTATAGCTGTCGCAACCAGGACGGATCGCACATGGTTTTGGTCGCCCGGCGAAGGGGCTCCAGCCCGAGCCAGTCGGCAAACGCCGAGCGACAGCAAGGGCCTTCCGGAGTCAAGTCGCGGAGGGCAGACCTCAGTTGTCAGTTTCCAGTTGTCATCACATCAGCCAGCAAGACTAGCCCTAAACCCTAGACCCTAAGCCGAACTGTATGCTGGGGTCCCTAAACCCTAAACCCTAAACCCCTAAACCCAAAGCCGAACGGTATGCTGGGGTCCCTAAACCCTAAACCCTAAACCCCTAAACCCTAAGCCGAACTGTATGCTGGGGTTTGGGCGCATGGAGCCAGGGAGCCCTGAGCCCCTTCTGACTTGTGAGGGCTGCCAAGACCACCTAGATCTTATTCATCCCCACAATTCCCCGGTTCCGGGTTTTGGGGCTTAGGGGCTTAGGGGTCTAGAGTTTAGGGTTTAGGGTTTAGGGTTCAGGGTTGTGGGGCTTAGGGGCTTACGGATCTATGGCTTAGGGGGGTTTGGGAGTTGAGGGCTGAGGGGCTTAGGGTTTCGGGGCTTAGGGGTTTACGGGTTTGGCCCTCGGGCACCCAAATAGTATATACTTTGGCCCCCTAGTACCAAAATAGGGGCTACTTTTGAGGCGAAATGTATAACTATATGTGTACATGGACCCTCAACCCTTACCCTAAACCCACAGATAGGGTAGGGTAAAGAACACAGGTCCGAACCTCAGCGCCGAAACCCGAAGCCCCCGACCCCTAACCCCAAAACGGTGAATCCGACACCCTAAACCCTAAACTGCTAAAGGCCCCTTCCGCCAAGAGTTTAGGGTCTAGGGCTTAGGGACTCAGGTTTAGGGGTTTAGAGGTTCAGGGGCTAAACTCCTAAAGGCCTAAACCTCCAAGAGTTTTCTGATTTAGGGTTTAGGGGCTTAGGTTTGGGGGTTTAAGGGTTCAGGGGCTTCAGGGGCTTCAGGGGTTTAGGGTTTTAGGGGTTTCGGGTTTAGGATGCTGAACCCCAGATGCTCCTCGGATGGGCTCCATACTCGGATCAGGAGGTGTCCAGCCAATTCCCTGATTGCTACGACGCCTTTCCCCTACCCCGGAATGAGGGTTTCGTTAGGAATCCGAACATTCACCCCTGAACACTAAACCAAGCCCTGGAACTCAATAATATGGGGGCATTAGTGATTAGAATAGGATTTTGGGGCCCATTAAACTATAATTATACTAAAGAACCCCCTAAATGTACTATAATTAATTATAATGAAGCCCCAAAATAGTATTGGTAATTATTTAGGCCCCTATATCAAACCCTGCCCTGAACTTCTGAACCTCAAACCCGAAAACAATGATCCCTGAGTCCCGGGCAAGCGCTGCGACTGAAGGCGTGCCAGATCTTCCTCTCCCTGTCGCGATGGCAGCTTCGTACTGTAGGGGCCTTAATAATTCGAATAGGGTTTTGGAGTTCCTTACCATAATTAGAGTATAATAGACCCCAAACCCCCTCTTCTAATTATTAAGGCCCCTACATTACAGAAAGACAGCCAGGGGCTTACGGCTTTGGGGGCCTTGAACGTCCGGAGTTGTTTGTCGATGGGGCGCTGAAGTGGCTTTAGGGTTGACGGGGTTTTGGTTGAGGGCCTCCAGTCAAAAAACCATCGCGGCGAACTACGAAGCTGGATGCCTAAACCCTAAACCCTAAACCCGTAAATCCTAAACCCTAAGCCCGTAAATCCTTAACCCTAAACCCTGGCCCCTAAACCCTTTGGGGTTCAGCACCGTTGGGCCTCTGAGGGCTTTGAAACTTAAAATTTGAGGTGTAGGCAGGGACTCCCTGAACTGCAGCATCCTTTAGGGTTTAGGGTTTAGGGGTTTAGGGGTTGAGAGGTTCAGGGGTTTAGGGTTGAGGGATTTAGGGGTAGGGTTGAGGGGTTTATGGGTTTAGGGTTCAGGGTTGAGAGGTTTAGGTGTTTAGGGTTGAGGGGTTTAGGGGTTTAGGGTTGAGGGGTTTAGGGGTGTAGGGGTTTAGGGGTTTAGGGTTAGTTCAGGCGAAGACAGAGGCTAGACAGTGATTGGGTCCTTCGTCGCGGCGAGCAGCACGTCTGCCACCGAGACATCTTTGGTCACATCCTGCTGCAGGCTCGCCTGATAACAGGGTTTGCAAGGACTCTGACTCTCATGCCCTTGAACCCAGGATTCCTTGCTCGGGGGTTCATGGGCACTTATGGGTGGAATTATAAGTCCTCGAATATAAGTTATAACTATAGTTATCCTACTTTTAAGCCCACTGATAACTACCCATGAACCTCCAAGTGTGGAATCCCATCGTGATTGAGGGATACTGCCTTTCAAAGTTCCAATTTTAGCAACCCCAAACGCAAAGCCTCGCCACGTTGCCAGGAAAACCCTAAACAATCGAAGAGAGTGATGGACTTGAGGTGAAGGTTTGTGCGTGGTGGTGACGACGATGACAATTAATGACAATGAGTAAGGATGAAGGATGAGGTGTGAGGATGAGAATGCGGATGATGATGAGGATGCGAATGAAGAGGAGGAGGAGGAGGACTTCACAGGTTCAGGTAATTTGTAAGGTTGTTTAAGGCGCTACAGGTTAAAAGGACTCACGGTCAGCCGCATCCCTACATGCTGAATTACTCTGAAACCGAAAACCCACTCTCAAGGAGTGTAAGCTTGATTGCGACGCGAGGCTCGCACGTTAGAGATTCAGTGTTTACGTGTTCCCAAACCCCTAAACCATAAACCCTAAACCCCACCCTAAACCCTAAACCCTAAGCCCTAAACCCTACACCCAAACCCTAAACCCTACCCTAAGACCCTAAACCCTAAACCCTAAGCAGAACCCGGAACCTGGTAGGTCCATCCCAGCTCCGGGTGCGTCTGGTGAATCGTGCGGACGGCCGACACGAACAACTCGCCAGACTTCCTGCTGTTACACTTCCACTGCTTGTAAAGCTGTAATAGTCGTAGTAGCAGCAGCACCAGTTGACAATATTACTTGCACTGTTCGTAAAAATTGCAGTAGTCGTAGTACCAGCAGCAGCAGATGATAACATTGATGATTACTGTTGTTGCTGCGATTGTTTTTGCAGTTGGGATTGCCGTCGCAGTTGAAGTGGCGGTTTGGGTTGCGGTTGTGGCTGTCTTTGCAGTTGCTGCTGCCGTTTCTGTTGCTGTTGTGTTGTGGTTGCTGCTGCTGTTGCTGCTGCTGTTGCTGCTGCTGTTGTTGCTGTTGTAGTTGTAGTTGTTGTTGTCGTTGTTGCTGTTGCCGTTGCCGTTGCCGTTGCCGTTGATGTTGTTGCTGTTGTTGTTGGAGATGGTTGTGGCGGTGGTGGTTGAGGTGGTTGTGGTGGTGGTGGTGGTGGTGGTGGTGGTGGTGGTGGTGGTGGTGGTGGCGGCGGTGGTGGTGGTGGCCTGCTACATGTACGGTCAGCTACTGTGAGCAATGCTCCTCCAGCACAGCTGCTCCTACCAGCAGTGCCCTTCATGCAACTAACACCTCAGTCCAACGACTGACCAAAGTACGAAAACAGAAAGCGACTATAGTGCTTTTGGCTAATGTGCCAGCCCGGTGTAGCGCGCAGGCATTCACTGGTCCCCGGAATATCTTGCCAACCCAGGTTCCAGAGGCACAAACCTCGACAGAAGAAGGCGCAGTAACACTGGCAAGATCACAAGCAGAAATACGTAGTTAGTAGTAGTCACAAACAGCGACAAGGAACCGGAACGAAGCTCAGACCCTGTTGTGGCTGAGTTGCTTATTATAAGTAGAGTATAATATACCCCAAAACCATGTTGTAATTTTTAAGGCCCCTAGATCAATGAAGTTTCGAACCTCAACCAATTACATAGATCCCTCAGGCTGTGGGGACGTGTACCAGACTTTTCAAATCTAGTAAAAAAACAAAAACCCCCTCGTATCCCTAAACCCCTAAACCCCTAAACCCTAAACCCTAAACCCCTAAACCCCTAAACCCTAATCCCCTGAACCCTAAACCCTAAACCCCTAAACCCAAACCCCTAAACCCTCAAAAGCACCACAGAGGTCCTGCAGCCGATGCTCAGCATGGGATGCTCCATCACGAAAGGCACGGAAGCCTGTATCTAAGGGCTTTAGGAGGGACCGTTTAGGGTTTAGGGTTTAGGGTTAAGGGACCCTTAATAGGGACCCTTGTAGGTTATTGGGGTTAATATGGAGACTACCTGGCTATATAAGGGGTATATAAGGCTATACAATGGTTATTTAAGGTAATGGGATGAAGGGTCCCTCTTACTTAAAGGATCGCGGGACTTAGTAAGTAGGGTTATAACTAAGGTAACTATACTTATAACCCCAATTAGGGGACGTATAACCTTACTTACTAAGTCCCATGATCCTCCCTCTTAGAGGTCCCTCCTAAAGTCCTTCGACTGGAGCAACAGCTCTTGCCATCGCCTAAACCCTGAACCCTGAACCTGGGCTCTGAGTTTAGGGTTTAGGGTTAAGTGGTTTAGGGTTTAGGGTTAAGTGGTGTAGGGTTTAGTGTTAAGTGGTTTAGGGTTTAGGGTTAAGTGGTTTAGGGTTTAGGGTTTAGGGGTTTAGGGGTTTAAAAAAGGCTTTTAAAGGAAACTACAGGTGGGGAGTTTTGGGTATATAGGGCTTCTATAAGGCTTCCATAAGGTATATAGACCTTCCATAAGGCTCCTCTAACGGTACCTACCCACCTGAAAATGTCCTAGACATAAACCCTTCACCCCAAGGGTCCACAGGACCCAGTAATCAGGTACTTCGGTTTCGGATACTAGTTATGTAGGTTACTCTTTGGGAGAGTATATGATTATTAGGTACTTGGACCCTTAAGGTAACCCTAAACCCCCATACTTGAACTCGAAGCCTTCTTTTGGCCTCAGAGCCCGGAACTCAAATAAACCCTAGGGTTTATAGGGTTTAGGGTTTAGGGCCCCTGAAACCTAAACTGTTCTATAAATTTCTAAATCCCTAAATTAATACCTAAACCCGAAACCCGAAACCCCCAAGCCCCGCCATCTAAACACAGGCCCCAAGCTCAAGACCTGGGACCAAACCCTGAAAGGCCTTATTGCTTTGCGATTTATGGTTTCGGGCCTAAGGTTTAGGGATTAGTTTAGGGTTTAGGGATGTTGCGGGGATTAGGGTTTAGGGATTCTTGGGGGGTTTTGACCCAGAGCCAAGCCCGGAAAGCCCTAAAATCCCCAATTGGAAAACCCCCAACCCAACCTTAGCTTTGAACCCAAAACCCACTTTTTTGTAGGTTCTTATTATAAACCCTAATATGGGATTTATAGGGACCCTACAAAAAAAGTAGGTTTTGGGTTCTTAAGGTAGCTTTGAACCCCAAACCGCCAACCTGGAATTCCAAACTCCGAACCCTAAACCCCAAACTCGAAATTCCCAACCCCGGCCTCTTACGTAATGTAGGGGCCTTGATAATTAGAAGACGGTTTTGGGGCCCATAATACTCTAATTATAATTAGGAACCCCTAAACTACTATAGGTATTTATTTCGGCCCCCATATCACACCCCACATCCCCCACAAGCTCCGCCTTCTGAGCGAGCCTGCGGACTTGAAGCGAGAGGAGCTGCACACTCCGCGTCGCCTCTTCTCCTTCGCATAACAGCAGCTTCGGGGTTACCCATAGGCCCCATAGTAGTTCCTTTTCGGGGTTACCTTATAGGATTCTATATATGAACTCCAAAAAAGGAACTACTTTAGGGCCTATGGGTAATGTAGGGGTCTTAATGAGTAGCATAGGCTTTTGGGGCCCAAAATATCATCAGGAACCCCCACAATAGTACAGGTACTGTAACCAGGGTTTAAGGCTTGAGGTTCCCTGAACCCTAAAACCCTGAAGCCCTAAACCCTAAACCCTAAACCTTAAACCCTAAACCCTAAACCCTTATAAACCCTCAACCCAAAACCGTGGGCTTAGGGCTTAGGGGTTTCCGGTTTGCCGGATTTTGGAGGGTTCGGGGCTCAAGGCTGAAGGCCTAGGGCTTCAGGGTTGAGAGTTTTTGTCAAGGCTGAGGGTTTAAGGTTTGGAGTTTAAGGGTTTAGGGTTCAGGGTTTAGGGTTTATAGGGTTTACGGGTTTAGGTTTTAGGGTTTAGGGTTTCGGGTTTAGGTGAGGGTTTAAGGTTTGGAGTTTAGGGGTTGCCGTCAAATAGCGCATAGGCGAAAGTATCTTGCAACCAGGCCGTGTCCAGAGGGTTTAGGGCTTAGGGTTTTGTCTTTCCTCCCACACCGTCTCAGGCGGCGCAACCACCCAAGCCTATGCCGTTTACGCTTCACGTGCCCATTGACACATCAAGATGTTCGACGCAGTCCCCGAAACATTATGACACGGATCAACAGGTTGGCGTCCATAAGAAGGGCTTTTGCTGTCATCAAGAGTCGACAGGAAGGCAGACCGCCCGTGCGACACTGCTCGAAGCCTTAAGTTACCCAACTGACAAACCCTCAATCCTAAACCAAATCCCGAAGCCACCAACCGGAAACCGCCAGCCCAAACCCTAAACCGAAGACACGAACCAAAGACCTTAGAACACTCGGGACGAACAGGTTCGAATTCCGAAGCACAGGTTTAGGGTTTATGAGGTTTAGTCTTCGGGGCTTCGGATTTCGGGATTTTGCTTTCGGTATAGGGTTTAGGGTGTAGGGTTCAGGGTTTAGGTTTTAGGGTCTAGGGGTTAGGGTTTAGGGTTTTAGGTTTAGGGTTTAGGGTTCCCGAAGCAGGGCCTGACACGCCGAGGGAGATGGCCACCTGAGACACTGGGATTTGCGAGTTCAGGCCCGGCTTAGGGTTTAGGGTTTAGGGTTTAGGGTTTAGGTTGCTGGGACAAGGGATTGTAAACTTGCGGTTTTACCTGAACCCCCAAGTAAGTATAGGGGCCTTAATAATTAGAAGAGGGGTGTGGGGCATATAGTACTATACCTATAGTAAGGAACCCTAAAAACCGTACTGGTGATTATGTAGGCCGCCTCTATATTACCCACACTTTCAAAGATAGACTTGAGGACACCTATAGTAAGGAACCCTAACATGTAGATCTTTTGAAGTTGGGGGTTGACCCAGCTTGAGTTAGTGCCATCGCAGCATCGGCTTCCAATAAGGGTTCTGTTAAGGGTTAGTTCCTTCAAAGATTCCTTTACGAGCTCTTTTAAGCCTTCCTATCAAGATTCCTGTCCTAAACCCTAAGCTCTAAAGCCTAAACTTATTGCAAGGATTCCTTTCTGCGTGCCCCCCACAGTTCCTTTGCGGAGTCGATTTGTTGGGCTCCTTTCTGTAAGGGTTTGCTTCCTGAAGCTTGAAGCCTCTGTGCCATCATTCTTCCACACAGCACATATAAAGTCTGCTACGAATTCTGATCTACCCATGGGGTTACAGGGCCTCAAGAATTGCTGATGCCCTTTGGCCATTTTGCCCGCGTTGAGTTGCTTGAACGTGGCGCTGGTCAGTTGCCGGTCGCATCTGCTGTCTGCTCATGGTCGTTGGGCTTGCTTGCCGGTGGCCCTGCATGTGAAGTAGATCTATCTCGTTGTGCAGCGAAATGCGCTGCTTGTGACTGAGGTGTGGGATCCCCTCGGCCACCTGCACGTACTCGTCCTGCAGGCCAGCAATGTCTGCACAAAGCATCTCGATCACTCGATTCAGTTCGCTGAGCCAAGTTCGTTCATTCCCAGCTTAGAAGTCTGTCAGGGTAAGGATTCCTGTCAGAGATCCAGTAAAGGCTCCTTAACTAAAGTCCTTTAGGGGCTCCCTTAAAGGTTCCTACAGGGAGGGCCTGTAAGTTCTTAAGGGTGCATACAAGGCTTCCAATTTAGGGTTTAAGGGTTTAGGGGTTTAGGGGTTTTGGGTTTAGGGGTTTGGGGCTTAGGGGTTCCGGGGTTTAGGGCTTTAGGGTTTAGGGGTTTAGGGGTTTAGGGTTTAGGGCTTTAGGGCTTCAGGGGTTTAGGGTTTTGGGTTTAGGGTTTAGGGGTTTAGGGGTTTAGGGCTTTAGGGGTTTAGGGCTTTAGGGGTTTAGGGTTTAGGGCTTTAGGGGTTTAGGGCTTAGGGCTTTAGGGTTTAGGGAGTCTAGATCCCTGGAACCCGACCTCCGAAGCCCGCAACCTCTGCAACATAAACCCCTACAGCCCGGGAAGCCCTAAAGCTAAAACATTAAACGCCTCAAACCATAAACCCGAACACCAAAACCCTAAAGCCCTTAAGCCCTAAAGCCCAAAGTCCTAAGCCCAAACCCCTAAACCCCTACAGCAAACTTCAAAACCTCTGAGAACCTGAAGCTCAGAAATTCAAGTTTTTTCTGATTTAGGGCTCAAGGCCTTCCTTGTACTCTTCAAAGGGTTTAGGCTTAAATGTTTAGGGTTTAGGGTCTAGGGTTTAGGCTCTTATTGCTGGTAGGGGCTTTCTGGGAGAACGCTTGGGCTTTGGGAGCTAAGGTTTGGGCTTTCACTATGGGGGTCCATGAGCCTTAGGGTAGTATA